TATATTTTAAATTTATTTTTAAAATTTAAAGTCTATTTCTTTTTTTTTAATACATAATGTATTATAGAGAATCAATAATAAATTACAAAAAATATTAAACAATTAAGAAAAAATCATGCAATTGAAGTAAATCTTTGCTAAAAAAAACGTTTTTTAATGCATTTGGTTTTATGGAAATTTCTATTTTAAATAATTTTTTAACATTATTATTTTGAAGAAATTTTAAAAAAAAAAGTTACATGATTTGGGGTGTTTTACAACATATTCTTATTTTAATACAGTTGTAAAACAAATCGTAAATAAGATTACTGATGCTAAAATAGTGAGTGCTTTTTAATCAAATACAAACCATGAACTATCATAGTATTTATTGGAAAAAATTCATAATATTATTTTAATAAATTGATTATAAATTTAATAGGTATTAAATTTTTTAGATAATCATATGTGTTAAATTTAATAAATAAAAACGTTCATGTAATTTTTTAAGGTAATAAATCACAGAAAAATATTTATATATTTTTTAAAATAACCAAATATGTTTTAGTGACTACATGTTTTATTTTCAAAAAAAATCAAATAATAAAAAAAATTATCTACAAAAATAAATTGCATAATTCTTTTGTTACATAATTAATGAATTGTAAAAATAAACAGATTTTAAAACTAATTTTTTAAGTATTTGATTTAATAAATCTTCACCTAAACTTACTTCCAACCAAAAAACATACAAGATCCAAAATCCTACTTTTATTTAAAAAATTCTCTTTACACCTTAATAAAAAAAAAATAATTAATTTCAAAAATCAATAATCAAAAAATTAGTGATTAAGTATAGTAAAATTTTTCATAAATCTTTAAGAGACATAAGGTTTAAATGACTTTTTTATAAAAAAAATATAACTTCTTAAAATTTTTATAAAAATTATTTATAAAATCCAAGATATAAATTTAGAATTTTTTAATTTTATATTTAATAATTTTTTTAAAAATATAAGCAAATAATCTAGTCGGTAATGATTTAAAAATAAATATTTCATACAATAAAAATACATTAATATAAAGATATATATATATATATATATATATATATATATATCATCTAACCTTAATTGCAATATTTAATTTATTCTGAGGGGTTTTTTATTTACTAAAATTATTATAGTTTTTCAAAATAATTTTTAAATAAATATAAATATTCTAAAATATCTAAATTATTTTTTTATAATTTTATACCAAAAAATGATATGTTTTCTACCATTTCTAAGTTCAAAAGTACTTAAGCTTATTTATGATATATTTCAAATCTAATTTTGGAGCACATTAAGCCTAAAATCTTTCTTCGAAAGGATCGATTTTTTTAATAATCTTTAAATAAAATAAATTCTGACAAAAATTCATAAATATGCGTTACTATGATTAATAGCTTTCAACCTTTGATATTAATATCCATATCAAACCATACAAATATCTTTAGAATGTCACACAGAGACATCTTTCAGGAGTTTTGCAAATATTTATGACAAAAATAGAGAGCACCAAATCACAATAATGTTCCAGTAGCCAAAACACAAATCAAAAGAACTTTTTTTATTTTTAGAATCACACAACAAACAGAAGAAGCGTGCACTTATTTCAGAAAGTGCTTTTACCATCACACAACATTACTGAAATATTGGCATACAATCATGTGACCATCCTGCCGTATTTGAATCATTTCTACAGTAACAATTCTGTAATAAACATGGGCTTTGAAAACATCGAATCTAGCAGAAATATCTGTAAAATTATAAAGAACAGGCAAACAATACAAAGACTGGTTGGAAATCGAAAACCATTTGCTACAGCACCTCTCATTCAGTGAGTTGGACCCGTGATTTTAACTATCCGTGGTTTCATTTAGGCAGTTTGACAATGCGCAGTGTTTCTATGTAATACTAAGATTTCAACCCTTTTCTACGGCATTTCACATTCAGTAAAATGAGATTATTGATTCAATGCCTTGATGCCGTCCAGACCTGTAGTTATAATTGGATCTCAACTAGTGCTAATATTCTCTAATTGGGTCCTATTCTAAGTGCGCTAGATCATGAAGTTTACCAGATGAAACATTCATAACGATGCTTTGCTATGTGATGAAGTAGAAAAAGGAGATCTGAATGTGAATTGTCTCTGGTGATCTCACTCAGCATGAGTAATGTTTCTCGAATCATGTTACTACCTTGTTCACGCCGACTCATGTTGTAATGCTAAACTAGGTCTTGCACAATCGGTTTCATGCCCTTGACCCCTTTCAAGATGGTGAAAGGTGGATCGAAATGACCAGAAGCAGAGAGGATTGTACTCGAACCATGTGTCCCTGAGTGTTTCGATGCCAAGAACTGGGACAATCCGTCCAACTTTCCTGTGTTGGTCTGCTTGACATGCATACGATCAATAACTAGCCAAGTGTTACTGTCCCTTCAGCATTGGCTTCTCGATGCGGTAGATCCTGTAAGGTGTGCAGAGAGCAACAGAAAGCATCCTCGTTGTCATGGAATTCGGCATTACTCCTGGTGGATGCCAGGATATGAGAATTTGTTACAGGCTGGGTGGAATGCAGTGCTTCAGGTCCTACACGAGGGAGTCAACTCATGTGGTTAGAGGGTACATTCTCGGTGTGCGTTGAATCTTATATAAGATTTTCAGACGCGGATGTCACTACAAAAAAGTGAAGGATTCCAAACTAGCAGGATCCAACGACATCTACAACCCAAGTATCTTCTACACCCCAAGTATCCGATGGAATACTTCGAGCACATCTACACCCCAAGTATCCGATGACAGTTCTTTCTACAGGAAAAGGCGAAGGTTACGCTTTGTCGATTGTATATCTATCCTTGAAGATATGGGTTACTTGCCTCACTTCCAGAAGCCTGAAACTTCTAGGTATCACAAAAAAAAAGCCTATATGACATGCCCCAACCACACAATCACAGTCAGAATTTTTGCACGAGGGATTAGAGCGATTGATGATTATCTTCACTCTCCTCTTGGGAAATCGCAGTTTTGGTTGCCTTCTGCTGAAAGATTAGATGATCCTTTCCTTTGAACCGACTTTCGATCAGTCTTCGTGGACATGAAATAAGCTGTAGGACCGCGGATTTTGAAGAATTCTAGAAGGTCGCATGCGAGTCTAAATATGTGGTACCACCCGTATGTATCGATGGCCGACGACAGCGTGAAGCCTTCTGATCTATTACCTCTGCTGGATAACCCTCCATGCGCGTTTCCATGAAATCTAAACCTCTGGCGTGGCTGTCTAGATTAAGGTCAAAATTGAGCACCCGACTTCATCACGATCTCAAATTGTTGCATTTCCGACGGCATGATTGCTATGTCCTGATTGAGAGGTAGAAGATGATCAAATACGTGCTTAATTCACTTCTTGTTGACATTTCTGTGCATGTTAAAGCACTAGTATGAAATTCTAATTAATTTCCAACAAGTTCTCGACAAGGATTCACAGGTTCGTGTTTGAGCTAGTTAGATTCACATCAACAAATTACGACTCATTTTAAATGTAAACATAGACGAAGGCTAGGACCTTATTATCATGAAGACCACCATCTCGGCGATGTTCTGGCGACCAAGGAACCACATCATCCGGGACGGATGTACTGAGAACTGTCCTGATGCGAAAATGGAACCTTGCATACTATCTGCATCTTATTCAGGAGAAGAAATATATCATTGACATCATTGTTGCGACACCTCGTGGGGACACTAGTGTTCCATCAGAACTGTCCGTAAATTTGATTGTACTAGCCAAGTTTAAAAAACACATCCACAGAATTGAAGCAATAAATAATACTCTCAGCCTGTGGGAGTAGAGATTGCGACTGCTTCTCATCATTCATTGAACGAAGGATAAGCTCAAACTACCTCAAACCAGCCAATACTTCCAGCTTACTTCAAGTTTACGTCAAGCGTCAATTCTACAGGGTGGTTGCTGGTAGAGTTGGAACAGTACACACACTGTGAAATAGATTAATCCCCGACAGAAATACTATGAGAAAGGAGCAAAATAATCACAGATTAAAGATTGTCTGCAACTTGAGCTAGGGATCAGGATGTCTCCACAAAATTGACCGATGCATCTAAGAAGAATATCCAGTGGTACTTGCACTCGCTGGTATTGGTTACAGTTGTGCTTAAGTGGGTAAATGTCCACTGCAGAGCGCCCACTTCATTAGAAGAACTCGAATGATACCAGGAAAGCACTTTATTTGAATGACAGTTTATGTGCAAATCAATCCAGTGTCATTTCCTACTAGTGATGTAGTCACCTGAATTATCAACACACGATGCATTGTGGCTTCTGTGCAATAAAATTCGGTTTAAATGCCAAAACAGTGCAACGTGCTTAGTTATGTACTTAAGGAAACTGCATCCGAGCAAGAAGATGTACTAAAGCGTAACAAATTAAATTGCTAACTTCTAGAGACCTGGTTACATATTAAAAAAAATCCTCCTCCCCTAAGACAGACTTCAGCATTGGTTCAATGTTATCAAGTCCTGCATATGAATCCTGCAACCCTGGAGGAAGTAGGCTATGGGTTCATTGTGCCCCTTTTTGAACCCCAGATACAAAAAAATCAGTCTAGAGCTTGCGGTGCCGATATTAATCAAAAGTCGGCGGCCTCTGCGGAGTGATTAGTAAGTTCAACCGAAGGAAAGTTTCTAAGCCATGCACTCAGCAAAGAAAGTTCAGACGTGGTAAATGGCATATCCATGGGCTCTGTGAAAACTCTTGTTGAAGTCACCGAAGTGGCATCTACCAGGAACCAAATAATATTCTAGGAAAGAGAGAAACATTGATCGGTTACATTGGGAGGCATTTCGTTGCAGAAGATCCCAGAACGAGCATCCACGCAATAGTCGAGCCACACAGTCAAGTGCGAGGAGAAGGCGACTACAACAGAAAGTTTGATGAATACTTACTCTCCCGGTGCTTTTGATATCCATGATCGTGATCTGTAAGCTGCCAATAGGATAAATGGGCATAATTAATTCAGACTCGATAGCTGGAGGTCACATCTCCAATGTCTCAGCAGGTGGCAGAAATCCAAACTCCGACTCTCCGCCTCATTAAAACGGATAGCTTGTGTGATCGTCCGTGTCCTTGTTCGCTTATATTCAACGGGGTTAGTAGGATTGGCGATCTCCTACTGGCATAATCGCTGGGCTTATCATCTCCTGGTGTGCTGTCGAATCCGAATGTACCAGCATTACTTGATATGTGTAGTGTTCAGTCTGCTCATATGATTGTTATTGATTGTTACAAGAGTCGACTTCATGAGCTTCTTTTGCTTTGTGCTGATGTATGTGAATACTGTCTGTTGATCATTCAATAAACTTTAGATGAACCCAGTAGTTTTCGTCGTATGGTTCATGGTCTCGAAACAATTCAACAATCTTGCGTAGGTTCTGTAATGTCAAGAGCCGCATAATATCCAGCGTTAGCGAATCTGTTTTGTTAGTTCACGTTCTGGGAGACACCTCTTCCTAGATAATTCGTCAAACTTCTATAAATTGCCTGAATGAAGATGAGACTCCAAGGTCTGCAAAGAAACTTAACCTTCTTACTGAGTGTTAGTCAAGCATTTCGGACATCTTCCATTGAGGTAGCAATGGTTACAGCAAAGATCTCCCACTTTGTGATCTTCGTCAAGTTGGATTTCGTCAACCTTGTGTCTTCAACCCAGCTGACGGAGTGAAAATGAAGATTGAGGGGTCAGGTTGTAAATTATGCCAATCTGCTGAATATAAAATTCACAGTGTCTTTGTTTTCATCATAGTTTCTGTCTGAAAATATCACAACTAATTCGTTGGATCATGTTGGCTCTAACAGGAAACGTGCGAATCTAAGTGTGAGACTTCAAATTCAAATTGCTTTCGAAGACCGAGACGTAGTCCACCGTAGTGATGGCATTGAGGACGATTGTGGTTCAACTTCTATTGCTTGTCATACTTTCAGACTGCGAGACCTGCATGCCGCAGTTGGAGTCGACCGCCGCATCAGCGAATGGCTCTGCAGTTGTGACGAAACCTGTTACCTCGCATGGCGTGGTCTTGAACGATACGTACACCACCGAGGTGCACAATGTTACAAAGACCACCACATCCCGCAGCTTGATCAGCAATCCTTGCAAAGGAAGTGATATTAAAATCAACCAAGAGGAGATATCGGGGGTGGGATTGCCTACATGGCAAGTGCGGATCATCAACGAGTGCACTAATCCCTCGTGCACCATCTCGAATGTCATAGTGCAGTGTGGACTGTTTCATTCTGGATTAATTTTGGTGAACCCCATGATTTTCAGGCGTTTGGACGCGAAGCAGGGAACTTGCATTGTCAACAATGGACGAACAATCGGCCGAATGGAAACAATAACCTTCAAATACAGAGAGATCTGGATGGAGCCGCTACGTTACAGATCTGCTCGGATCTCTTGTGTTGGTGGGTAGACTGCGCTCTCTGCCTGCAGCACTTCCTGTCTCTCCCACCACGCCCATTACCAAAGGAGCTCGAGGAATTCCACCATGGTATATAGATGTACATATGTAACCGTATTTGTAGAGAAACTTAACATGGTGATTGCACTGCCACGATTCGACTAGTTGAGTGAATCGTATTTACGGTGGTAGCGACGGCCATAGTTACTCAATTCAATAAATAATTTTCTGTGGGTCATGTTCTTTAGTGATCTGCACTTTCATTGTCCCTGATCCAAGCTCTCATGTCCTCGCAATGTCAAAGGATATTCTGGATACCGCGTGAATTAGGATGCCCTTCATTGTAAAAGGCGATCTGTTTCCGTTGCTTGAGAATATCCACAAGCTACTGCTTCGTACACAGGCGCGGTTCTCTGATGCCAAGCTAGTGGCTCACATCATAATAACAGGCACTAGGTGTAGTGCCGCAACCTAACACACATGTTTTGAGTGTGACAAGTCTAACTGCTACAATTTGAGCAAAGGTTTCTAGATAATGGGACTTGGAATTAATTAAATGCATTTGATGAAAGCGGAACTCAGTCATCCAACAAAGGAGCAACACGATTCAGGACAAGGGGTTGCTCAATGATTATTCAGACTGCTCAAAATTAGCAATCAACTTTTTTTCCGTCAGAATGTAAGGTTTTCGAGCAAATTTCTCAAGGGCAAAGCCTAATCTACCAAATTTGTGATACTCGGTGACCTTCAACCATCGTGAATGTCCACCACCTAACAATACAACCGTCGTTTGCTGCATGAGCATATCTGTGTCGACCAACTTAAATTTTGTGACTCATTACCCAACCGTGAAAGATCGATGCAATATATGATACCCCCAAGCCAAAAGTCACTAAATAATGTCTTTGAATGCATGTCGACCTGATATTCTATGTAATGATGAGCTTCTTAGCAGCTCAAATCTACCTCATACTTCAATAAATATTCTCAACTAGTGGAGTTAATCCATTTGAATTGGGGTTTGTAACTCCACTCTCGACAGTATAATGACTAATCCCTCACCGCATAAGCGGTACTCCAGACACCAAAAATCCGATTTTTTCCCGCAATCCTAAATGAAAAATGCAACTAATTCACAACTGCCTCAGGGTGGGTGTCAATCCAGCTCCACACCTTCACATCGCCACGGCTGTCTCCTGAGAACACAAGATTATTTAGACCTACTTGAAGAGCACGCACTTCTTCTCGTGAAAATAGTTGGCCACGCTCCGTAAACCTGCAAAAGCAGCAACATTATAAGTTTAATATTCACTGGGTATACAGCAAAATAGAAAAGCCATAAACCAAGAGGATAAAATTCCAAAGCATTGCAGCAACACCGACTTCGCATTTGCTAAGACATAACCTAATCCACAAGATACGTTTACCACGTCAAATGAAGTAGACAGGAATGTACTCAGTGAACCATTTAGAAAAAGTACGAAACCTATTGCAGTTAGATAAGAGACATGGACTCACGTTGGTAGATCGTACAACCGAACAATATTGTCATTGTAGGAGCAAAGTAGAACAGGCTTTCCAGCTTTGTCAGTGCACCCACACATCTTTAAAGCTCCTGCCAAAGTAATCTGCGAATAAAACGAATCAACCACACTTGTAACATGAGCGATTTCACAAGCCAAAAAAAAAAGTTCCAACAGCAAAGGCACCAACAAAAATACAACACTAATAAGCTTCAGGAAAAATGAGCTAGACACCAACATTGCGGGAATCTGATTGGTTCTCTTCCTCAGGATGTGAGAATGTCAACTCAAGTTGACCAGATGAATTTACAGACCAAATCTGAAAAATTGAACACAAAAAATGTGAGTAAATGAAGCCATAAAGGAATAACGTTACAAAAAATAGCGGCTCTGCTTGGCGTGCAGCATGCCCAGGAATATTCAGGGGAGTTGTTATCAGGTGGAGTTTAATACAATAGACAAGTATGGCAAAGAAAGCAAAGACACGGCTGGTTTCACGCTTGCCTTGATAGTACCATCCAAAGAGCACGAGAGTAGAAAGGAGTCCCAACAAAGAAGATCCATTACAACATTTGTATGGCCTTCTAGAGCTTGTACACATTGTAAAGTTGCGAACTCCCACACCTGCCAATTAGAATAAGAATATTAAGCATCCTCTCACGTTCACGTATCTGCTGCCCACTGAACTGGACTCTAACATGACGACAGTATGTACGCAGGATTAGACATATAATGTCCAGTGCAAGGTATGCACTGGATAACGATCGTGCTTGTCAAGCTCGATCTAACCCCTAAAACAAATAAATAAATAAATTTTAAAAATAATTAAAGATAAAAATAAGAAACTAGAAACATATAAGGGAAGAGGTACTTACTCGTATTGTACTGTCCATAGACCCGGAATAGAGGCGATTAGCAATCAGCATGAGTGTGACCACGGGGCCTGTGTGGCCGGACATAGATGCCGCTGGCTCAAACTGGTTGGTAGCAGCATTGAACTGCCAGATCAGTATAGTGCCGTCCTATTCACCGAAATAAAAATAAATTTAAAAAGTACAAATCGTAAAGGGATATTCGGCACAGCCAGCACACATTACACGCGAGCGACAATGTCAACTCAGAGAAACAGCTTTCGATATCACGGACAATCGCATTCTACATTGAATCCTAAATGACTTCAGAACCCCCTTTGAGGCTCCTACTGATCCTGAAACGCTCCACAAAATACACCCAACACAAAACAACCACGTCCCCGCAAAATGTGCATAGCAGTAACATTAAAACTGTTTCTGTGAATTCAGGGAGCAAAGTGGATTTACGTGGGTTCCCGCAAAAAGGAGTCCGTCGTCCGTCACAGCAAGCGCGTGCACTTGCCCCTTAGGACCACTTAGATTTGCCTGTTGTAATGTCGCCATATTTATTACCTGCCGATCCAACTCACCATGTCAGATAAAATTCAACAAAAAGCACTATACAGGTTCTTCTTCAACCCTAACACTTGAAAGAGTAAAAATACAAACATTCAATCACATATGCTGCCCAGGATTGTATCCCAAACCCTAAAGGATTTTGGAACATCACCTTAACCTCATTGGGCAATCCCACGAATAGCCAACCCTTAGCAAATATCAAGGCGCCCACATCTCCCCCCATTGGAGCGACGTTTGTACATTTCCCAGTAGTGCAATCCCACACACGTACAGACTCATCTTGACTCCCAGTGTAAAGCTGCGCATGCGCTTCCGGCAGCACAATAGCTCTAACAGCCTTTTCATGGCCATTGAGAACAGTAGTCATCTCCATATCTGGCGCTGTCGTGTGCGCGTGCAGAAAATTGCACGTATCTCCCCTCATGCAGTTCCCCTTCAACCAATACGAACATGGCTTCTGCTTGGGCGTGTGCGACCTGCCACCCTCTTGAAACCTATTGTCCCTCTGATCATGACTACCTCTACCGCTACGACCACCACGACCTCCTCTCCCCCACCTCGCGGACACATTCCTCGGACGCCCTTGGTTGCTCCCGCTAGTAAATCCTCCTCCTCCATAGCCCCAGCCTCCAGCAGGATCCCTCGCCTCCCTGTCACGATACTCATGGGCATTGTTCGACCTTTTGGCACTCCCTGCAGAGTTCCCGCGTCCAGTGGAACCAGCGTTACCGGGATGCAGCCACTGACAGTCGTCTCCTTTGACGCACCTCCCCTCTTGCCAATATCGACACACCTGCTGCCCATGCGATCGCCCTCCCGCTCCCCCACCCGACCCTGCAGCGTTCCCCGAGCGGGAGTAATTCCGCTTGCTGCCCACCCTCGTCGACCCATCGTCGACCTCCATCCCGGCCATCATCTTCCCCACCCTAATCTCTGCTCTAACCCAAAATCCCCTCCGCCAAACTACCCACAATTCCCCTTCTTATCTCATCGTACCCACACACATTCAACAATCCCCCACCTATCTGTCAGCTGTATGTCAATCCTCCTCTTCCAGCTCAAAACACACCCCCGCACACAAACAAACACACACCACACAGAACCCAGTTCACAGTCTATACGAGACACCTGAATTTCAGCTTCGGGCAACAACCCAAGTGGAATTCCGTCATGCCATCACCGGAGCGACGAGAAACGTCGCAACGGCATCGGGTTCCGATTGTGGGGCAGTGGCGGGGGCAAAGCTGAACAGAGAGTGACGGGAAGCACTGCACACGTCCTTACCACACCCTAAAACCCTAAAACCCTAGCCTTTGGCTTTTTCCACGCAGGAAGGGGAAGAGCGTTCTTCGCCCTTTTTCCAGTTCATGCATTGTTGTTGTTTTTCAGTATATATGTGTCCTTTGAGCTGAAGCGGATTGCAGCTGGGCGCCGAGAATTGGATGACCTAATGGACAAGGTTCTGTTTGTGGGTCCCCCCTGGTGTGTTGACTTTGTGCCCTTTTCTAGAAGAAAATCCCCCTCCTACTCCAAAATATCCTACAAACTAGTCGCATTTTTTATTTATTTATTTTGCTTGTTGGTACAAATGAAAAAAATTCAATTGCAGGGAGAGACTAATACAGGACCAAGCAGAACAAAGTTAAAAAAAAAAAAAAAAAAAAAAAAAACCCTGCCTAGTATTGACTGGACTAGTGACTTGACAAATTTTTATAATACATCCCAACTTATTGGATTTAAAGAAGGTGTGTTGGGCTATTGAGATGATAAGAATGTCAAATGACTTGGTTGTTAACTCTAGAGCAAATCATGCTATTGCTGCTCTATGTGCTATCAAAGTCCTCAAAGACAAAGTAAGTAGTGAAGTTATCATCTAGCATTGTAGCAGATATGTTATACCACTCCAAATGTCTATAGTCATTGAAAATTTGACATGGTTTTGCAATTGTGCACTCTAGTTATCACAAATATACTATACAAAAGACCAAACAAGAAATTGAATAGAAGAATTTTTACAAGAAAGCTAGTATGAACTTAATTAATCAGATGAATATAAGATCAATACCAAGAGAGGTGAGATAAAGCTCCAAAAGACATGTTGTTGAGACTAAGGATCTCCTTAGCCTTAACTTTAATATATATTAGGTAATAGGAAGCCTCTTAAGAAATTCCTATGTTGCTTGGAGATGAAGTGATTTTAGAATCCTTCTTGAACAACTTCTTTAATCCTTCTAGAACTTTCTAGAGTTTGCTAAAATATTTTAAGAACCTTTTTAGAATCTTTTAGAATATTTTAAAATCTTTATAGAATCTTTTATTAAAATACTTTAAAAACCTTCTAGAACCGTCTTGTTGGATGTCTATAATATCACTTTCCTTTCTAACTCCAAGTTCTATAAAGAGAATCAATTTCACATTTGTAAGAATTAAAGGATTTATTGAACAATAGTTGCAACATATGTTGCTCGTTGATCTCTACTCAAAAGATAGATTGGTCCACTCAAATAGTAATAAAGGCCACCTTCATTTGCTTATGGAAAACCTATTCTTTGAACTTAGTTAGCATTAAGGCCTTCAAAACATCCATGAAAAGTGGCTTGAGCTCAATTAGATTCTACTATACTAACTTATTATAGAATGATCGAAGCTTAAGCATCATCTTGGATGTATTTTTATTTGAATTAATTGTAGTTTAAGCATTTCTAAGATAATTGAACCTTATATTTATTTTTAGTAAATTTTGAAGTAGAGATCAACGATGATACATTATATTTTGAAGTAGTATTTACAATGTATCATTGTTGATCTCTACTTCAAAACTTGATTGACTCGTTTTGTGTAACCATTGGTTTGAGGATGGAAGGCAAAAAAAAAGTTTGATATCTACCTTCAATATCTTGAAAAGGGATTTCAAAAACTTTGATATAAATTGAGGTTTTTAGTCAAAAATGATGTCATCAAGTAGGCCATGATATCAATATATATTGTCAAGAAAGAATCTTATTTTTTTTACTCTAAAAAATACCTTTTTATACAAAACAAAATATGTCATCTTTGTAAATTGATCTAAAACAATATAGATAGTATCAGATATACATGATGGTAGCAAATCAATGATAAAGTCTATTGATATTGAAGACCATGGTTGCTTTGGAATTGGCAGCAGCTATTGAAGTCTATAAGAATGTTGTCAGGAATTCTTTGATCTTGAATAGATGCCACCTAAGATAACAAAGTCTTTTATAACCTTCTACATTTGAGGTCGCCAAAAATCTCAAGAAATAAGCTCCAATATTTTGTTAAATCCAAAATGTCCTGCAGTTGAAAAATCATGTTAAGATTGAAAAATACAAAAGAGCATTGGTCCTTCTGGAATATATTAATGATCTTCAAAATACAAAAGATCTTTCACAAATCTAAACTTATCATTGTTAAGGCACTGCTTGATATTACAAATTAATGAATCTTTAGTTGATGCTGCACAAATTTGTTTAAAATATTTGAATCAACAAGTGTAATTATTGAGGTAGCATAAAGACAAAATTAGTTAGGCTTTAAGAGACTTGTATATTGCTAAATAAATGATATTTCTTTGGCCTTCAAAATAAGATATGATCTCCTTAATAAAGCAATTAATAGTCTTTATTGCTTCCCTAGTGGATAGATAATTAGAAAATCAAAACAAAATAATGACATATTTCAATGAACTTGGCAGCGATTCAAAACTTGAGTTGTCATGAAATATCCCAAGTTTTTGTGATATGTATATATAATTGTAAGATATATAATACCTTCTAAAAAGTGATGCCTTTCTTAAAAAGAGTTTACAATTGAAAGAAGCTCTTTATTGTGAATTTTATAATGGATTTTTTTAGTAGAATTTTTTTTGGAATAGAATGCAATTGGTTAGAATTTTCTATCATTTTCTATCTATGATAATATAGTTCCTAATGCAAAGTTGGAAGCATCAATCTCCAAAAAGAAAGCTTTTGTAAAATCTAGATATATTAAAGTTGAAGCTATAATAAAAAAAAAAAAAAAAAATACATTTCAAAAAGTCTTTTATGCTTGACATCTCCATTTTGATTTGTCTTTGGATGTCACTTGAGTGAAAGGAGCAACAACTTGGAAGTGATTTTTCATAAATATTCAATAGAAATTACCAAATCTAATAAAATATTATATATCTCATATTATCTTTAAAGTTGCCTATTCTATTATAGCTTGAACTTTCTTTAGATCCATCAACAAGTCTTCATTGAATATAATATATCAAAGAAATTCTATTTTTGATTAATAGAATATATATTTTTTTAATTTGGCATATAATCCTACATCTCATAATTTTTGTAAGACTAATTTTAATTTTTTTTCATATTCTTCAAAAATCTTGAAATAGATTAAGATATCATTAGGATAATAGACAACAAACTTGTCTAAGAATTGTCAAAAAATATCATTCATCAAATGTTAGAATATAGTTGGAATATTTTTTAATCCAAAAAATATGACATTATATTCAAAATGTCTATATCTTGTTCAAAATGTTGTCTTCCATTCATGTCCTTTAATCCATACCAAATTGTGTGTTTCACTAAGATCTATTTTGGTATTGATTTTGGCTTAACTAAATATCAAAGACATGAATCTTGAAGGAAAAAAACTTTAATATATTCTTGAGTCACTTAAAAAGACTAGAAAATCACTCAAAGATGGTAATATATTGAACTAGAATGGCTATTACAAAAGACAAGAAGACTAAAAAGTCTTGAAATAAGACTAAAGATTAGAAAGGCATTGATAAGAGTGAAGAAGACTTTACTCTTGCCTCTATATATATTCTCTAAATAAGAGCTATATGACAATATTCTATAGAACCTCCAACATGTGTTGACTTTGCTAGACACATGACTTAATTTGCAAGGCAAGTTATCTATATGTGCACCACATAGTTAGCTTGTTCTATAAGCTACTAATATATATCACATGGCTAATTTTTTGACCAAGTTTCTAGCCTATCAATCAACTATAAATATGTGTAAAGTCAAAGCAACGTCTATGAAACTTCTAAGAAGCTTTTTTAGAAGATATCATAAAATTAATCTATTTTTATCTATTTCTACTTAATCATATAGATAATTATTAGAATAAATATGTATGTCTATGATATTGAATTTTTTGAAAAGCCTTAATAACAATAGTAATGGATAATATTTCTTCACCATTATTATGTTGAATCTTTAATAACCAACATATATTTTTAAAGATCCATCTTTTTTCTTTATAAAAAGTATAAACATACCTATTAGAGATTTGAAATATCAAATAAAATTCTTTGTAAGATTTTCATCAATGTAATCCTTTAATGCTGAAAGCTCATTTTGTAAGAAGTTGTAGATTGGGCCAAATGGTAGTTGAAAATCTTCTTAAAGATTAATAGTACAATTATAGAATTAATACTTCGACAACATATTAGAATTATTTTTTTCAAAGATATCTTAAAATTCCTAATACTGCTCTAAAATAACTACTAACAAGTTTGCTTCTTCACAAGCTAGAATTGTATCAATGTCAAATGACATTTGTTTTTTAGTAGTCTTTATAAAAAAGCCTTTCCTCCAAAAATAAATAATTTTATAGTTGATAACTTTTTGATAGATTTTATTCAAAGAAATTCTATAAAAATTTCAACCTTATGAAACTTCCAATCTATAAATGGACTATATCTTTTCAACCACAAAAGTCCTAAAATGATAAGATTGGACAAGATTTTAATAATATTAAATATTATTTTGCTACTATGGTCTTCACATGATATTTCTAGTAGTATGATTTATGAATAATATTGCATGAAGATAAAGGTCGACCATCTATTACTTCTATGTGTACAAGTTTTGACTTTTGTATTAAAAGAATTTTATAATATTTGATAAATTCTTCATCTAAAAAATAAATAGATACTCTTGAATATAATAAAGCATTTATTTGAAGTTTTGTAGGTCAAGAATTAAAGATATAATAAAATAATAAATTAATTGAATAAAAAAAGAAGGACCTAAATGAACTTAAAGCATTGAAATGTCTAACCCCACAATTTTTAGTATAATTGGGCTTTTTTATTTTTTTGAATAATTTTACTTCTAGTCTTGATTGTATATTATTTCTTTGAATAGTTCCTAGATTTGTAGCCTCCTTTACTACAATATAATTATAGGTCTTATCCAAATTGATGTTATTTTTCCTTTATTGTAAAAAAATTGATTTTTATTGCATTAATTTGCATATTCTTAGATTCAAAATGTCAAAATAATATATTTATTGAAGTAAAAGAGTATGAATTTTTAATGCATTTCTTTATCAAAGTTGAC